TGAACTCAGTTTAGTACATATATGTATGAAGGTAAAAAAGCCAAAAATTGTAATCTGAAGTCTTTGGAGCGACTTGTTAAAAGAAACCTACAGTGAAAGAAATAGAGTACAGGTAGTCCTCGAGTTACAAACATACGACTTACATATGACTCATATTTAAAGTGGTAGTAAACCGCACGAAAGTAAAACAAAAACTGAGCCCCCAGGTGGTTTCAGTCATAATGAGCTAGTATGCACTGCATTGACAGACTTACCTGAAACGAAAGCCCTCCAGCAGTGTGCTGTCACGTGTCACGGTGCTTCCATCTTCACCTGGTCTTCTTTCCAGGTTTGCAGGCTTGAACCATATGAATGGCTGAGCCGCGATGACGTCAATCCCGCGTATGTGCACAGGAGTCAAGGCCGCGGCACAGAGCTCTGAAGGAATAGCACAGGTATGCCGTTTCTTCAGAGCACATGTGCCGGTGACGTCACCGGCTGCTGCAAAAGTAAATATCTCCTAAACGGTGCATTACTCTACCTATAGGTAAGCCTTATTATAGGCTTACCAATAGGTAAAAATCAGTGGCTTTACTACCTCTTTAAGAATGGAGGCAGTATGGTGTCCTGGAAACCGCTGGGCTTTCCATCTTGCTGCTCAGTGCATGCTACCATCTACTGTTAAGCAGACCGGTCAGCAATCCCACGTCACTGCATGGCCAGTTAACCCTTTCCTATGCTATCCAAAACTGTAAAATAATTATTTGGCTGGATTAACACCTAAACAAAGTTGTACCAGTTCCAACTTGTAAACAAATTCAACTTAAAAACAAACTGACAGAGCCTATCTTGTTTGTAATCCTTAGACTTCCTGTAACTGCAGTAGCAGACCCCCTTCTAAAAAGCAGTCTGAAACCCAAAAACAAAAAATGTAATATTGCAGCTTACCAATCCTTAGATGTGGTGGCTGCATTTGTTTTCTTTTTAGGCTTTTCCCCCTCTGTTTTCACCAAGTGGCCAGTAACACACCTCCTGTATCAGAGTGCCCCCCACTCTGGATGAATGAGTTACCGTTGCACAGTAGAAGTAGCTTTGTCAGTCTGGGGGGAGGGGAGTATTAGATGTACTAGCAGATTTAAATACACTAAAAAATGAAGCCAAACTCCTGATCACACTTCAGAAATACAAACAGTTAAAGCAACAGTTTTTCGTTTTGGGATAAAAGTTTTACATGCATAAAGAAAAGATTATTATTGTAAGCACCCCTGTCAGTGGTAAAGGTTTTATTCAACATTTCAATTGACACATTTGCAGGAAAGCTTGTTCTGTTGAAAAACACTTGATGGCTGAATCACCAGATGAAAATAAAGGAAAGAAAGCTTAAAAAAGAGAACTAATACAGCCTCACATTTGAGAATTGGTAAGCTGCAATATAATAAAAATGTTTGTTTTTGGTTTTAATACTGTCTAAGGCTATATGAACACTATAGCAGTGTGCTAACATATGAAACATGAAAAACACATGTTGCACTTGCAGTGCCATTTATTGTAAACACGGCAAAGAGATGTGTGGTTTTTCATGATGAAAAAATGCACCAAATGCATGACAACTGTGGCAAAACAGTTCAAAAGGGTGCAAATCACAATGATCAAAGCATAAGCTACTTTTCTGTTTTTATCGTGTGTAGCATGATAACATGCAAAAAAACATGCTTATGTGTGACACCTGTCTTTTCTCATTTTAGTGTAAAATGGAGCCTAAATCCATGACCAATAACAAACCTACAATATACAGTCAGAATGAAGTCACAATTACTATCTGCATACTATTTTAAGGTTGGTGCCTAAGAAAGTATTGATGCCAATAAATCAGCATGAGAGCAGGCACATGCAGATGAACATTCATTTAGTACAGGTTTGCTTTAAAGTGGTTGTAAACCTCTGATGCAAAATATGGACAAAGCATATTCCTCCTGTCTCAATCCAGAGCATTGACGTGATTATAAGGTAAAAAAATATATTATTATTATTAATAATAACAACAAACATGTCATATTTACCTGCTCTGTGCAGTGGTTTTACACAAGTCATCCGCGATACTCCTTTTCTCCTCGTCCCCCAACAGTACTCATGGCCCCTCCCCTTTGCTGAGTGCCCCCATAGCAAGCCTCTTGCCCTGGGGGTACTCATGCATGTTCGCTCCCAAGCCCCATTCTGTGTTCATAAGACACACAAAGCGCATCTGGGCCACACACCCCCGACCCTCCCTCTCACTCCCTCCTCACTGGCTGTGATTGACTGACAGTTTCTGAGCCAATGAGAAAGGAGAGACCCAGGAGTGCCCATGCTCATGTGCACAATGCTGGCTCAAGATCGGACTCACATAGGTATGGGGGGGGGAGGGGGGGCTAAGGGTGGAGCTGCACACTGAAGGCTGACTAGACTAGAAAAGAATGCATGAAGGTAAAAAATCTTCACTTTAATGCAGGCCATAGATGGGTCGAAAATCGGCCGATTTTTCGGCCGAAAAAAAAGTCGGCCGATTTTCGGATCGTTAGTGGGCTATTTGGTCGGCCGTTTTTCGGGATTTTGGCGTTTTTTTTTTTTTTTTTGGTAAAGTTGGATTGGGTCGATTTTCACGGCATTAATGGGCTAATCGGCCGATTTTTTACCGATAAAAAATCTGCGCATGAGCAGTGACCTGCAAGAGGAAGACAAAAAGAAGAGGATGAAGAAGAAAGAAGAAGAGGATGAGGAAGAAGAAGAAGAGAGGATGAGAAGAAGAAGAGGATGAGGAAGAAGAAGAAGAAGAGGATGAGGAAGAAGAAGAAGAAGAGGATGAGGAAGAAGAAGAAGGATGAGGATGAAGAAGAAGAAGAGGATGAAGAAGAAGAAGAGGATGAGGAAGAAGAGGATGAAGAAAGAAGAAGAGAGAAGAAGAAGAGGATGAGGATGATGAAGAAGAAGAGGATGAGGATGATGAAGAAGAAGAGGATGAGGATGATGAAGAAGAAGAGGATGAGGAAGAAGAAGAAGAAGAAGAAGAAAAGGATGAGGATGAAGAAAAGGATGAGGAGAAGAAGAGGATGAGGATGATGAGGAAGAGAAGAGGATGAGGAAGAAGAAGAGGATGAGAAGAAGAAGAAGAGAAGAAGAGGATGAGGATGAAGAAGAAGAAAAAGGATGAGGATGAGGATGAAGAAGAGGATGAGGATGAAGAAGAAGAAGAAGAAGAGGATGAGGATGAAGAAGAGGATGAGGATGAAGAAGAAGAGGATGAGGAAGAAGAAGAGGGTGAGGATGATGATGAAGAAGAAGAAGAAGAGGGTGAGGATGATGATGAAGAAGAAGAAGAAGAGGGTGAGGATGAGGATGAAGAAGAAGAGAGGATGAGGATGAAGAAGAGGATGAGGATGAAGAAGAGGATGAGGAAGAAGAGAAGAAGAAGAGGATGAGGATGAGGAAGAAGAAGAGAGGATGAGGAAGAAGAGAAGAGGATGGATGATGATGAAGAAGAAGAGGAGAGGAAGAAGAAGAGGGTGAGGATGATGATGAAGAAGAAGAAGAGAGGATGAGGAGAGGATGAAGAATGAGGATGAAGAAGAAGAAGAAGAGGATGAGGATGATGATGAAGAAGAGGAGGATGAGGATGAAGAGAGAAGAGGATGAAGAAGAGGATGAGGATGATGAGGAAGAAGAGGATGAGGATGATGAAGAAGAAGAAGAGGATGATGATGAAGAAGAAGAGGATGAGGAAAGAAGAGGATGGGGATGAGGATGAGGAAGAAGAAGAGGATGAGGATGAAGAAGAAGAGGAAAAGAAAGATGAGGATGAAGAAGAAGAAGTAGGATGGATGAAAATAGGATGAAAATAAGAGGAATTCCAGTCCAGCAAAAAGTGTCTCTGCAGAGAGCTCCGCTATTTCTTTGACAGTTCTCTGACAGTTCCTTGACATTTACAGCGGTTGCAACATTGTATCTATTTGTTTCCGAATAAAAACATCTGTATCCTAAATGGAAACAAATAGATACAATGTTGCAACCACTGTAAATGTCAAGGAACTGTCAGAAATAGCAGAGCTCTCTGCAGGGACACTTTTTGCCGGCTGTAGACGGGATGAAAATCGGCCGATTTTTTTTTTTACCATTGGTGGTAACGTCGGCCACTTGAACGACCGATTGTTCATTTTTTTAAAAGAAAAATCGGCCGATTTTCGACCCATCTATGGCCTGCATAAGTGTCAGTTCTGTCTGCTGCCTTGTTTGTCTATTTGTATGAGTCACTCCAAGGGCTAAAAAGGTGACAGGGGAGGAGGCTGCAATACACAGCCTGTGATTAACAGTCTCAGCTCTGTTCCTATGTGCTGTATGAAGGAGGTGTGTGTCCCTTTCCTTCAATCAACTCTCACTGAGCTCTGCACAGTGTAACTTCAGCTCCCCGCCCCCTGCTTGCTGAACGCTTTTATGAAAATGTGAGATTGTTCCAAACATAGAATGCATTTTTGGACTGATGGCAATGTGAGCCACAATGAGAGTTCTCAACCTTTAATATATTTCTCCACACTGAAAGCAAACACATTATTTTAACACTACGGATGAAAACATTGAAATCATAAACTGTTACTGGCATTGGTAGGAAAAAAATCAGATGACACGAGATACCGCTGCATCTGCCAGGAGAACACATTTGTTTTGTGCATTAAAAACCTTTGGACTGGAAGAAAGCAAATACACTTTGACATGATATGTAGTTGTGTGTAAAGTACTGAATTTGCAAAAGAAAAACCACAAAACCAAATTTCATTATGGGAAGGGTCCAAATAGATGATTTTGTAGCTGGGTATCTTGGAGGTAAGCACATCTCTTTCTTTACTATTTTTTGCAATGATAACCTCTTAGTTCACAAATGATCAAGATTATTAATTTTCCACTGTGTGACAGTCATAATAATGTCAGATAATTTTGTTTTGCCAAATTACTTTTTTGACAAATAGTATTATACCTTGATATTGTTTTTTTTCTATGCAGGGGCTGCTAGTGTTATTGTTGGACATCCTTTGGACACCGTTAAGGTATTTTATTTCCTTATGTTTGGCAATCTTTTTACATTTTTTACAGTTTTTACATTGCTGTGCAGAGTACATTCTTTTGGTAGCAATTGTGTTATGTTCATGCTAGAATGTTAAAGTACGACAAAAAGAACAGGATATAAAAGCAAATATTGTATTTCTTTCTATGTGTACCAAAAAATAAGCATAAGTAAACCAATATATTAACTTAGATTCCCTATCTTATTTGCATTTCAGCTACACACCAGAGCATATCTCTGCAACACCTAACCTGCATAATATTGTCAGTCATAACTCAAGCAGGATTATTATAATGTCAGTTAGCAGGGCAGAAATATAGACATTGAGGACATAGTTTTTAGATTTGTTTACAAATAATCAAACCTCTTAGTACCTGTTCTAGTAATAAATAGATTAATTAACCGCTTCCCTTCCGTCCTATAGCAGAAATACTGCTCCAGGGCGGCACAGGTGCGTAAAATCACATATATATACGTGATTTTGCATTTATTGGTAGGGGGCATGCACGAGCCACGCACAAGCCCTACCCACGCTGCCATTCATGGCCGCAGCTGTCAATCACGGGGTCCCGGCCAGTAATTACTCGCCGGCAACCGGTGATTTCCATAAATCTCTGACAGGGAGGAGGACTGTTTTGTTTACTAACAGTTCTATTCCTTGTCAGCTCGGGCACACTGCTCTGGATGGCTGTGCTGTGCAGTGTGATTACAGTGAAGCATGCTGAAATGGCATCCTAGTAAAACACTCCCTGCACATAGTTAACCCTTTGATCGCCCCTCATCTTAACCCCTTCCTGCTCTATGCCATTAGTACAGCGTCAATGCTTTTTTTTTTTAGCACTGATCACTGTAGTGTTGTCACTGGGGATGTCAGTGATACCAAGTCAGTTCCCCCCAGTGTCAAAATATCTGCCGCAGTCCCACTGTAAGTCGCTGATTGCTGCCATTTCTAGTAAAAGTTAAAGAAAAAAAAATCCAAGTATATGTACCTCCTTTTGTAAATGCTATAACTGTCATGAAAACCAATTCATTTACACGTATTGGGATTTTTTTTTTTTAGCAAAGACATGTAGCAAAATACGTTTTGGTGTAAATTTATGACAAAATTTGATTTTTTTTAATTTTTTTCCTGGACATGTTTAAAATCAAAAAGTCAACAATATTGTTTTTTTTTTCTCAAAATTGTCGGCCTTTTTTTTTATAGCGCAAAAAATAAAAAACACACAGGTGATCAAATATCACCAAAAGAAAGTTCTATTCGTGGGGAAAAAAGGACGTATAATTCATTTGGGAGCAGAATTGCATGATCGCTCAATTGAAAGTTAAAGTAACACAGCTCCGTAATGCAAAAAAATTGCCTGGTCAGGAAGGGGGGTAAATCCTCAGGAGGTCAAGTGGTTAATTCATAGGACCTGGTTAGCAAAGTGAAAACCCGTCACATAGTGGGGTTTATTTACTAAAGATGGTTCACTCAGAATCTTGCGCACCTGTGCATGGTAGCCAATCAGTTTCTAACTTCAGCTTGTTCAATTACGTTTTAGCAATAAAACCTGGAAGCTGATTGGTTTCTAGGCTGAAGTGCAGGAGATTTTGAGTGAACCAGCTTTAGTAAATAAGCCCCATTGCCTATTATTTCTGAAATATAGGTGAAAAAAAATGCCCTTGTTGAATTTCTCTACTCATCATCTGTCTTTGACTGGCATGCATGTACTCAGTTGACAATTCTACATTGATAATTGTCTAAAGATGTTGGGGTTGAATTACTACAGTAGAGGTTGTTTACCAAATGTAATAAATAATATTAACCTGTGTTCATGTTAAATGCCCACTCATATATGAGAAATTAAAAAACAGAATTTTTTGCTAGCACATAATTAGATATTCAAGGTGAACACAGCTTCACTAATTTACTAACTTTAACTTTGCGAAGCAACATGTACTTTGCTAAGTGAACAGCTTCTTAAGCCTTTTTAAGTCACAAACCCTCTTTAACAATCCGATGAAAGATATGGACTATGGACCCTCTCCTAGAGACCACAAATTAACCACTTGCCCTCCAGACGAATTACCACCCTTCCTGACCAGGCCATTTTTTGCGATACAGCGCTGCGTTATTTTAACAATTACGCGGTCATGCAACACTGCACCCAAATTAAATTTACATCCCTTTTTTCCCCACAAATAGAGTTTTCTTTTGGTGGTATTTGATCTCCTCTGTGTTTTTTATCTTTTGTGCTATAAACAAAAAAAGACCGCCAAAAAAAAAAAACCTATATTTTTGACATTTTGCTACTAAATATTTCCAGTAAAAAAAATTTAATCTAATTGCGTTTTAAATTTAGGCCAAACTGTATTCTGCTACATGTCTTTGCTAAAAAAAATCCCAATATGTGTAAATTAATTGGTTTACGTGAAAGTTATTGTGTTTACAAATGGTGGTATATATACTGGAATTTTTTTTTTACTAGTAATGGTGGCGATCAGTGACTTATTGAGTGACTGTGGTGGGCATTCTGACACTGACATCCCCAGTGACACCAATACAGTGATCAGTGCTAATAAAAAGCACTGACATTGTACTAATGGAACTGGGCAGGAAGAGGAAACGTGGTGCAATCAAAGGGTTAACTGTGTGCTATGTGTGTGTGTGTTTTACACTGTAACCACACTGCTTTGTTTGGCTCTGCTATGCAGGGCCATACAAAGCACTGTGCAGGAGCTGACAGGGGAGAGATCTGTGTTGTTTATACACAGGTCTCTCCCCTGTTGGTAACGTTCTGAGATCTTCTGGTGCCGGCGAGGAATCACCGACCAGGACCCAGTGATTGACAGCCGAGGCCGCAAATGAAGGCGCCCCTTGCCCGGAAATGCAAAATCACATATATATATACGTGATTTCGCGCACTCGTGCCGCCCTGACTCTTTGCTGATTTTCATCATTCAATCATGTACAAGCAGAAATGCTGTTCTTTTTTTAATTTTCCTTGCACATCATTGAGTATTCTTTGCAAAATGAATCTTCACCACATTCCTAAGCTCTGGGGGAAAACCCAAAATGTTTATTGGACACTGGTAATCTCTGTGCACACTGACATTTTGTCAATGTGGCAAATGTAAGTACACTGCAAGATTTATAGCTCATACAGTTGCAAGAAAAAGTATGTGAACCCCTTTGGATTAAGTGGAGTTTTCCATGAATTGGGCATAAAATGTGCTCTGAACGTCATCTAAGTCACAACAATAGAAGAACACAGTCTGCTGAACATAATACTACACAAACATTAGATGTTGCCATGGTTTAATTGCACATAACATGTAAACATTCACAGTGCAGGGAGGAAAAAGTATGTGAGGCCCTAGCTTAATGACTTCTCCCAGAGCTAATTGGAGCCAGGAGTGAGCCAACCTTGACTCCAATCAGTGTGATTATATTGGATGTGTTGCTGACAGCTGTCCTGCCCTTAAAAAAACACACACCTGTTTTGGGTTTACTGGTTTCAAGAAGCACCGTCTGATGTGAACCATGCCTCACAGAAAAGAGCTCTCAGAAGACCTACGATCAAGAATTGTTGACTTGCATGAAGCTGGAAAGGGTTACAAAAGTATCTCCAAAAGCCTTGATGTTCATGTGTCCATGGTAAGACAGACTGTCTACAAATGGAGAAAGTTTAGCACTGTTGCTACTCTTCCTAGGCGTGGTCGTCCTGTAAAAATGACTGCAAGAGCACAGCGCAGAATGCTGCATGAGGTAAAGAAGAATCCCAGAGTGTCAGCTAAAGACCTACAGAAATCTCTGGCACATGCTAACATTTTTGTTGACACATCTACAATAAGGAAAACATTAAACAAGAATGGAGTACATGGGAGGACACCACGGAGGAAGCCATTGCTGTCCAAAAAGAATATTGCAGCACGTTTGAAGTTTGCAAAAGAGCACCTGGATGTTCCACAGCAGTGCTGGCAAAAAATACTGTGGATAGATGAAACCAAGATTGAGTTGTTTGGGAAGAACACACAACACTATGTGTGGAGAAAACAAGGCACAGCACACCAACATCAAAACCTCATCCCCACTGTAAAACATGGCGGAGGGAGCATCATGGTTTGGGGCTGCTTTGCTGCCTCAGGGCCTGGACAGATTGTTGTCATTGATGGGAAAATGAATTCCAGAGTTTATCAAGACATTTTTCAGGAAAACGTACGACCATCTGTCCGCCAACTGAAGCTCCGCAGAGGATGGGTGATGCAACAGGACAATGACCCAAAGCATACAAGTAATTCAACAAAACAATGGCTGCAACAGCACAGAATACGCCTTCTGGAGTGGCCCAGTCAGAGTCCTGACCTCAACCCGATTGAAATGCTGTGGCTTGACCTTAAGAGAGCGATTCACACCAGACATCCCAAGAATATTGCTACACTGAAACAGTTTTGTGAAGAGGAGTGGTCCAAAATTACTCCAGATCGTTGTGCAGGTCTGATCTGCAACTATGGGAAGCGTTTGGTTGAGGATATTGCTGTCAAAGGAGGGTCAACCAGTTATTAAGTTCAAAGGTTCACATACTTTTTCCTACCTGCACTGTGAATGTTTACATGTTATGTGCAATTAAACCATGGCAACATCTAATGTTTGTGTAGTATTATGTTCAGCAGACTGTGTTCTTCTATTGTTGTGACTTAGATGACGTTCAGAGCACATTTTATGCCCAATTCATGCAAAACTCCACGTAATCCCAAGGGGTTCACATACTTTTTCTTGCAACTGTATGTGTAAAACAAGCTATCCCAAAAAGAAGCTAATATTAATTTCTAACTTTTTTCATTTAAAGGCTCGATTACAGGCTGGCCAAGGATATGGCAATACATTTAACTGCATTTTTAGAATTTACAGGAATGAAAATGTGAGTACATTTCAATTTTCTACCACCTTCGTTTTAAATAAGTTCCTATACAGCAGTACATTTCCTATATTAAACCTGTCATTTTAAAACTAACAAAAATGAACATAACTTGGTGACACAGTAAAAAATCAACTTTGCAACTTTGCATGCCCTGAATCCAGGCTTGTGATGTTTGTATATTTCAAGTTTATCATCATTTCAGAGCTAAAGTGATTGTATGGGTTTCTTTTTTTTTTTTTAAATGGTTGAAATGGCTTTGCACAGAGCAGCCCTGTTCTCCCTCTTCTTGGGTCCCCCACTGGTGCTCCTGGCTCCACCCCCATGTTTGAATGCATTCTTGTGCATGTTCACTCCCAGGCGCTGCTCTGAGTTTCCATAAGACCTACAGAGCGGGGGTTAGCGCCCCCCCTTGCTTCCTCGTCACTGGCTCTGATTGACAGCAGTGGGAGCCAATGCCTCCTGTTGCTCTGTCAAAGTCAAGAGTCAAAGAGGAGTGAGAGAGTTAAGACAGCCTCGGCTCTCGTGTACATTGCTGGATCAAGATAGGGCTCAGGAATCTATTTAGGGGGGTTGCTGGGGAAGCTGCATGCAAGTTTTTTTACCTTACTGCATAGATGGCAGTGGGGTAAAAAAACCTTCTCTCTTTACAACCACTTTAACCACTTGCCCTCCGGAATATTTACCCCCCTTCATGACCAGGCTATTTTTTGCTATACGGCGCTGTGCTAGTTTAACTGAAAATTGCGCGGTCATGCAACACAAATGAAGGTTATATCTTTTTTTCACACATAGAGCTTTCTTTTGGTGGTATTTTATCATCACTGGGTTTTTTATTGTTGCGCTATAAATAAAAAAAGATCAAAAATGTTAACAAATATATTTTTTACTTTTTTTTATAAAACACATCCAATAAAAAAAAATAAAAATAAAATCTCTTCATACATTTAGGCCAAAATATGTTCTGCTACATGTCTTTGATAACTTCCCCCCTCAAAAAAAAAAAAAACAAAAACAAACAATAAGTGTATTATAAGTGGTTTGCATAAAAGTTTTATCGTCTACAAATGGCGGTATATATGTACTGGAGATTTTTATTTTTTTTTTTTTTTTAATACTAATAATAACGGTGATCAGCGACGTATAGCGGGACTGCAGCGGGCATTCTGACACTTACTGACACTGGGTGGGAACTGACTAACTGCCACTGGCATCTTCAGTGACACTAATACAGTGTGCAGTGTTAATAAAAAGCACTGACACTATACTAATGACACTGGGAAGGAAGGGGTTAACAATCAGGGGTGATCAAAGGGTTAATTGTGTGATAGGGACTGTTTTTATTGTGTGCTTTGTTGTGTTTGTGCTGGTTTTTGGCTCTCTGCTTTGCACTGACATCTTCGGGAGCCAATGTCAGTGCAGGTAGGGCAGCGTGCGCACCCCCTACCCTGCATGAAGAAAACATTTTATGCCACAAGCCTATACCTTAACACTGCACCTTTAACTTTACCCATCAGTAAGCACAGAGGGAAGCCCACATACTTAATTTCAAAAGGCCTTGTAAAACCTGAGTGCAGGCAGTCCCTATGGAAATCCTGCACTGCACTGGGCTCCAGTATGAAGACCCTACTGCTAAAGGAGGTGCAAAAAGTACTAAGTTGCCCATCGCTACCAGGGCCCCCTGTCACCTGCCCCCATCACCACTTCCTCTGTTGAGTGGCTGCTTCTCCTTATTACACACCTATTCTTCTAAACCAGAATGTTTATTTGTAGATACACAAGGTCAAAGATTGACTTGATGACACTTGCTACTGCACAGCTATTCTTCTTCTTAACCCAGAGGGTAAACATGGCTTGCTCCCAACTCCCCGTTCTTCTGAATACACTATGAATACACCCAGTAGTAATACACTTGATTCTCATCATAATTCAGACCAGGCAACATTTCTTTCTCAAGAACTGTGTTTACTGTATAGATTACTTCACACAATGTGGTAGCTTGCAGTGAATAACATATCCTCAAACATAATATAGTGCTCTCCTCACTGTCCCATACATTGGGCTGTGCTGCAACTGGATGCACTTCGCCTCCTCTTGTGATGCTGCCCATATCGTGATTTAAGCAAAGTCTCCCTCCGATTGTCACTATACACACGAAACCTGGGATTGGTGCTCATTGAAGGGTAGATCACTGACAAGATAGATCACATCATGACACTGGTCTTTACACAGCCACTTCCATGCCTAGACTGTGCACCCAAGACTGCCTTCCCCATTTTATATGCCCTGAACAGGGGAAGTGACATAAAAACAGGGAGAGATGTCACAAGAATTGTTAGCCTCCTGCAGTGCCATCCAGAATTTAACATAACTAGCCCAAATCATAATTTTTACTTGGGCTCCTGCCTACAAGGAAAATATTTTATTAAATGAGTGGTTCACACAGGCACCTTTTGGTGTCTTTTCTTTTCACGCTATTTTATGGTCAATTTTCTAATCATAGGTTTCCTCAAAGCTGGCCACATACCTAGCCAAAATTGGTCATATTAGTAGTGCTGACCTGCATCTATGGAGGAGCAGCTTTGTTATTCTCTGCTGCTCTTCTGATTTGGACTATAAACATCTGTCCCTCTCATCATCTCTTTTACTTAGAGTGGAGTTGTTTGTAGTCCAAGGAAGATAGCTATGGACTGAGGCATGTAAACTGTACTTTGCTGCCACTGAACCAAGCCATTACCCAGATCACTGGTGTACAACAGACACAGCATATTACAGTATGTAGTGGCATACTGTATAACCAGAGGGGAACATCTAAGTGGTGAGCCTTTTATATTAATCCATAGCTCTAAACTGCAACTAGCATGCCCACATGTTCATAAATACAGAAGTTCTATCCTGGGCTATGTAGATTAACTCCTCCATCTCTACTAATCTGCTCAAATGTGCCAGCCTGTCCCATACACTAGGTGGGGCAGTGTCTCGCCAATGTATTGGTATACAAAGCCTGGCAGCGTTTTTCATATGCAATAACAAAGACCTGCTATACAAATCAGTTTTGTAGTACGGTGCAGAAAATATTGTGCCAGAGTAAAAGCCAATGCACATCCAGTGACTTAGGAAGTGACATTGTGGAGAGAAGCCCAAAAGGAAGTGGGATGTGGGCAGCTCAAAGAAATATTGCTTTCTGCCACTGCACATCGCTACAGCGATCAGGAACCAATGGGAATATTTTGTGTAGCAATGAGAAGACTCTGTACATCATGCCCGGATTTTATAAGCGTTCTTTTGTGTGTGTACATTAAGAGTGCCTTTATGCACAAGAGAGTTAATCTGTTCCCACGCTTCCTTCTCCAGGTAGCCATCCAGGTCCATCTCCCAAGCCTCACACTCTTTATCTGACTTCGATGGACAGGCTGAAAATAACAGAGTAAAGATCAGAAACCAAATGCTGTTGGGGTGACTCCCTTTTACAAACAGACTCAAATGGAGTCCAATCTCTCTTAAATGCTGTCCTAACCTCTAGCCCATTCAAGTAGTGGCAAATGTGTAGGTATGTCTAAAAAGGTATAGCTGAGTGAGGAACATGACTCCCTAGTGAGGAACATGACTCCAGTCTATAACTGTTCCATGATGGAAAATTTAAATGCTCTAGGCTGGGCTTATGGCCAGGTAGTAAGAAAGATCCGCTCATGTCCAGTGCAAAAGAAGGGTTCCATCTGAGTGGAGTCAAAGGCCCAGGGTTTGAGGAAAGCTGAAGAAAGGTGCATACCAATCTAAAATTACTGTGCTGTGCTATGCTGTAAGAAGGTTCCAAATAATCATTAGACTGTCTGGGAGAACATGAGTACAAGAACCTGGGAAAAAATAGTCATCTTTAATGCCGCCATCTGCCCATACAGCAAGAGTGGCTTGAGGTTTCAAGACTTTAGATCTCCTGGATATGTTGCAATAGTGAGTGAAATTACAGGAAAAAAGTAGGGTCACATCTGCAGGCAGCTCAGTTCTCAAATATGCAATCGCTTCGTCTTTCCAAGCGAAGGGGAAATTGCTTTCTCATTGGGCCACTTCCTGTCTTGAAAGTCCAAGGTTAAGTATCCATGATTTCATGTAGTTAAAGCATAAATTTGCCAATTTTGAGAAATGATCCAAGACCGCCATCGCATTCAGAAGGAAGATATGAGGCTTTGTGAGAAACAGCAACATATCATCAGGATACGAGGCTAACTTATATTCTCATCTGGCCACTCGAAATCCCTTAATGTCCGAATGTGTGTGAATTATGCAGAGCAAAGGTTCCAAGGCTAAATTGAAAATTGGGGGGAGGAATTCGGCATTGACTTGCCACACTTTATACGGATCCCACACGAGCTGATCCCCAGTCTATCTCTGACTTCTTGTCCCATTTGTCTTTGCCTACTTTGACTCAGGCTCATAAGGACCTGATGGATAGTGATATTCAAATATCAGAAGTTTTGCATTGCATTGCGGATCTGAAGATGGGCAAACGCCCAGGCCCAGATGGATATACAGCTTTATATTACAAGAAATTAGCTGATGTGCTTGCTCCTCACCTTGCCACTATGTACAATGTGGTGAAGGGAGGTTCAACTTTTTCCCCTGACTCTCTGACTGCTAACGTGGTTATGATCCCAAAACTGGATCGAGATCATTCCTCTTGGGCAAATTACAGGCCAATTTCTCTTATTAACATCGACATGAAAATCATAACCAAAATCTTAGCCACTCATTTGAATTCTTTCCTTTCTTGTCTGATTAAGAAAGACCAGGTGGGTTTCGTCCCCCACAGACAAGTGGGCGATGCCATCAGACGCATTTTACAGTTACAACATCTGGCTCATACTCGCAAAATTGATATGATGTTCCTATCTCTAGACATCAACAAGGCTTTTGACACTTTGTCCTGGCCTTATCTTATGTCGGTTCTTCACCACTTTGGCTTTGGTCCCTCGTTTTTGCGTTGGATTTCTTCGCTATATACATCC